GTTCCTATTTCTTTTATCGTATATTTACACCATTATGAAGTTGAGACGTCTTCTTCATTAAGTGTCGAAAATAAAAGGGCCCTCTTTTATAAAAATCATGTGTGATTTAAACATCCACGAAGTTAATAAAGCATTTTATGAAACAAAAATACAAAAAAGGGTAAAACATAAACCCACGAATTAATTAACAAGTCCTTAAGTATAAAAGCAAAGTCGAGCAAAACAAAAGTTCAAAATAACTAAGAAAAACTTCTTAAATATTAGAAAATTTAGACTAAGTATGAACTTAGTTATCAATTACTTGTCATTTATACAAAAAACGCCCCGAAAAGGTCAGGAGACTTATCGTTTCCAAAAAACCAAACCCCCAAATGGGACCGAGGGTTATAACCACATTCCACAAAGAAAAAAAAAGAGAAGTAACATATCATAAACTTTTCACTGAGGGGCTGAAGAAGGATCTGAAACAGGGTCATGAGCAGCAGAAGGTTCGGGATGGCTTGAAGGAGTTGGAGCATCCACCGTTCCCATTTCATCTTCGATGTGCTCGGGAATATCAGCCATGGGAGAAGGAAAGTCTTGGCCTTGCTGAGTTTTTCAATAGTCTTTTTTATTTTGGCTAACTCAGCATCCAAACTAAAGCCCTCTTGGCTAACTTCCATCAGGGTATCATGGCGGGTGTTTAGAATTGCCCAACTCACTTCAATTGCAGTCTTGTCTTCAAGAATATCGTAATCTTTCTCCCATTGATCAATCTCATCTTTAAGCTTTTCATTTTCAGTCAGGACAGAATCATAAGAAGCTTGCAAAGGAGCGAGTAAGATGTATGCAGTCTTACCTCTACAAAATATGAATATGCTTTATCTTTTTTCTCCACAGCTTTCTCTCTATTATATTATTGGTTTTATTTCTTGGAGCAGAATTGGGATCAATAAAGGATTTGTTGCCAAAATGGCCAAAATTTGTTACTATCATTAAGCCTCCAAGGATATGAATAGTGAGAACTTATGAGTATTTCATTTATTTTCTTGTACTTTATTTTTTAACCTGTCTTTTTTACTTAAACTGGAATAAATGTTTAAAGTTTAAGATGTAGCATCCCCTTTCTATTTGATTGATTTAAACATGTTTACTATTGCATTCTTTCTTATTTCTATCTCTTTGTCTAATTTACACTATATGTAAATCTTACACGAACACTACTTATAAAATGAAAGCTTTAAATTATATACACCGAACATATTATAAAGAGTTTTTACACTATTATTTTAATTTTAACTCGAGGTGAAATATATATTAAAGATAACATGCATGATCATTATTAATTATTTTAGGCTAGAAGGTAAAGTTGCAGTTATAACAGGTGCCGCTAGCGGCATCGGTGAAGCAGCTGCAAGACTTTTCTCAAGATATGGAGCTAAAGTGGTGATTGCAGATATCCAAGATGATTTGGCACATAAAGTTTGCAAAGAATTGGATCCAACATCAACCACATTTGTGCATTGTGACGTTACAAAAGAAGAAGATCTAGAAAATGCTGTGAACATTGCTGTAGACAAGTATGGCAAACTAGACATCATGTACAACAATGCTGGTATTATGGGAGCAGTAAAATCTAACATTCTTGATAATGAAAAATCCGAATTCGAAAAAGTCATCAGTATTAACCTTGTAGGTACGAGATAATCGCACTTTTTATCTCTACGTTACTGATAGATCCTGACTTTGCTCCTTGTAATATTTCACACTAAGCATATTGCACTTAGAATTAATCAAAATGTGTGTTTTAAATCCCTTACTATAGCGAAGGCGGACGCACACTATAGGAAGAGGGGTCACTAGCACCGGGAGACTTTGGCAAAAACTTCATATATACTTGTAAATGTCTTTAAGAAATAGTTAGATATTAGCATAGGCCCCCGTACCAATCTTTATGAGCAGTGATAAATTTATATTGAATGTCATGGTGCCCCTGTGACGGTCGATCCGCCCTCTGTAATCTATAGCAAATATGTTATACTTGGATTATTTTTAGAATTATATTAACCTAGATATGCCTTAAGAGCGGAAGGATCAAAAGTGCACATTGAAAGTTAAAAATACTTAATTAACCAAATATCACAAGTATTAAAACCAGTATTTGTTGATATATCAAAAACTAAAAGCGCAAATTTCCCTTGCAGGAACATTTCTTGGGATTAAACAAGCAGCCCGAGTCATGATTCCCCGTCGTACACTTATGAACGTAAAAATAGCACGGTATAGCCAGTTTTCGGACTGGTCAATCAAAAATAGCCAGCGTTTACCAAGTTAACAAAAAATAGCCACTATTTTGCTGCAATAGAGACCGGCCCAGCATAATATACTGGAGTTCGGTGCACTTGTGTATGAACTCCAGCATATTATGCTGGACCGGTATACTTTCTGACTCCAGTATATTATACTGGACCAATATACTTGCTGGAACTCCAGTATATTATGCTGGAGTTCTAGTGTACTTATGCTGGAACACCATCATATTATGCTGGAGTTCCAGCATACTTATTCTGGAACTCCAGTATAATATGCTGGAGTTCAAGTATACTTATGCTGGAACTCCAGCATAATATACTGGAGTATTTTCCGAATTTTGAACAGTGTTTTCGCTCAGATTTATCTTTATATAAAAAGTGGCTAAATTTCGATTACTTTTGAAATTTGGCTATTTTTGAACGACCAATTGTAAATCTGGCTATTTTTAAAATTTACCCCTTATGAACGTCTGAATGCCTAATCCAAGTAAAGCAAACAAGAAAAGAAAAGCTAGTTAGTTATCCACAATTTACATCATCAGCAATCAATGTTCTCACAGGTATATTACATTTAAAATTTCAGACAAACACAAATTAAAGAACAAAACTAATAAGTATCCTCAACAAGTTTGGGACCCAAAAAATAAATATATGTACGATAACCATCCCAATTTTCGCTGAGAAAGAAAACAATCCCTTTCAGATCTTCAAGCATTACAAGTCATGAATTGAGAAAGTTATTAATTCATTTTTCATGTGTTGAAAAAGAAAAATACAAAGCAGAGCTTCCCCACCAACGGAACCAAGTGGATACTTATCTAAGTTAACCCACATCACTGTGGACTTTCTATTTAAAGAAATAATAGTGTGAGATGAAAGTTACCTTATTTAGCTCATTTTTCTGGTATGTTTGGATATCAGAAAAACCTCCAGGATAAGAATATACCTAATCGCCCTTGCTTGGTTACTATACAGGAATTATTAAAGTGTTCTTGTTAATTCTAATTCCATAGGAATATAGACGTTAGATTAGCTTGAATAGGCGAGTAGTACTTCGGGAGAAGGCTACGAGCAATATTAACCCTATCAACCAATAAACCAGATAAATTAATTAGACGATTCAAGTGGAAAACTCAATGGGATTGTTAGCTAACCCATAACCATAACTCTAGAATATTCACTCACATTGAATTCGTCTTTAACTTTGTCGTTCTTTTCTTTAATCTCTTAATTTGTTACTCTAGATTAAATTTAGTTAAATATTCATACGTAAGAATCCGCTTCAATAGATGAATTGTTTGGTTTAATTTGGTTGATAGTTAATCACAAGTCCCTGTGGGTACGATATCTGGGCTTACAATCCTATATTACGTGTACGACCACATATATTTGCGTGTGCGTTTGGGAGCAACAACATCATCACTCTTATGTTCTGTTTTGTGCTTTCTTGAAAAATGTTTGATATGTTTTCCTTATTTAAGCTAGTACCTAGTTTGATCAAGATCAGAATGAAGTTAACTTCCGTCGATATTGCGGTTGCTCTTTTAACAATCTAACACACGATTCAACACTCAAATTTATTTTAATTGAGCTCAAATTTGAAACATAACTTTCAAATATCATAAAGAACAAACTGGAATCATCAATTTATCAAAACAACAACAAATATGAACAAACTTATTTTGCAATTTAGAGGAAAGAAACCCTAAGCACTAGGAAAGAGAGGAGCGTCACAACAAACTCACTACTATAAAACATCATAAACTCCTTAAAATTTGTTCACAAACACCATTTAAATCCACAGCATCTTTGTTTTCACAGCCACTAAGAAGAAGAAGGAGGAGGAGAACTTTGGATTCTAGTTAAACTTTTAAAAGTTGGTACAAGGGGCTACCAAATATAGGGTGCCTCTTAAAATATTTACACCAAAAAGACTAAAGTTGAGGGAAACCTTTGCCTTTTTCTTTTTTCTTTTTTCTTTTTTCCTTTTTTTTTTAATTTTTGAATAAATAGAAGGAGCAAAAAAGGGGCTTTGCTCTGTATATATAATTATTGGACATTAAAAGAGCTATTACAAAGTGTAACTGCTCTAGCTATCAGAGTCTTCCAACAGTCCTTCAAAGCATTTAAAACATAGATCAGTTTAGCCATACTCATGAGTCACGCCTAGGAGTGGCAAACGGGCGGGTCGAGTCGGATATGATTCGGGTTGAAAAAGGGTAATGAAAAAACGGATCAATTATCCAACTCGACCCATATTTAATACGGATAAAAAACGGGTTAACCGGCAGATAATATGGGTTACCCATATTATCCATGACTTCTTGTATAATATTACTTTTGGGAGAATTCTTAGTCTCTCTAACTTGAGGGACCCCCAATTTGAGGCTTTACAAATGTAAAAGTTAGACTCATTGATTATCCATTGGTTATCCATTTTCTAAATGGATAATGTGGTTCTTATCCATATTTGACCCGTTTTTAAAAAGTTCATTATCCAACCCATTTTTTAGTGGATAATATGGGTGGTTAACTATTTTCTTTGAACCATTTTGCCGCCCCTAGTCGCCCCTAAATAATATTGTCGTCATTCACAAGGTATTTTTTATGTACTTTAAACTAATACCCTTTTATGAACATACATGTCGGGTCATCGGGACTATTTTTCTATATAAAAGGATGCTATAGAAGGAGAAATTCTGTGTCAAAGTTTGTGAAATCATTTTCATTTCACAAATATCCAAATCATTTTGGAACTCTTTAATTACGCTTCAAGTCCTTGAGAACCTCACGTTTTCCATGGCTTCAAATTTTGCTAGAAGGTAAGCTTTCGTTTGGCAATAAATTCTTTTGGCGAACTTTTTTTCAAAAATTTTTTGAATACATTGTTTCTTCATAGATTGTGATGAGCTTTTGGAAAAAAAATAAAAAATTTCTTCCACTCACAAAACTTCCAATTTTTTCAAATAAAATACAAGTCCAAATTTAATTTCAACTTCCAAAAATTATTTTTCAAATACTATCTTTTCAAATTTCAACAATGTCTATGTCCAAACGCTAGCTAAGTCGTCCATCATTTGCTTAATTTGAAGTCTAACTAGGACAGGAGAAATAAAGAACTATACCTTATCTACTTTGTTCTGTAAATTTACATTTTTGTTTATAATATCTTGTTGAGATAACATGTGACAAATGTTTAAACTGTGTGTTGTAACGATCCTAATTTGTCTTACTTTTTATGTTATTTACTTGAAACAACTAGGCAATATTTATTTCATAAACATATCTTCCATCAAAAATACATGTCTAAGTTAGGTCGATGATACGTACATTTAAATGTAAGATTTAACTTATATACAATGATAGTATAAAGAACTTTTACTCTATTGGTGTAGTTTGAACATACTATAGGTTACCGAGTTATACATGTCAGTGCATAAAAGTTAAACTTCATAACTAAGTAGATTTTTGGACATAATTTGGTTAAAGTTTGAAAAAAAATGAAGTTTTTTTAAATTGAAATTGAAAAAGAATATTTGAAAGCTAATTTTTATTTGACGTGCATCAATTGTTATTTATTTTAGGCTCGAAGGTAAGGTTGCAGTCATAACAGGTGCTGCTAGTGGCATCGGTGAAGCGGCTGCGAGACTCTTCTCAGAACATGGAGCCAAAGTGGTGATTGCAGACATTCAAGACGAGTTGGCTCAAAAAGTTTGCAAAGATTCGGATCAAACATCGACCACATGTGTGCATTGTGACATTACAAAAGAGGAAGACCTGGAAAATGCCGTGAACACTGCTGTAGACAAGTATGGCAAGCTAGACATCATGTACAACAATGCTGGTATAGTTGGAATAATCAAATCCAACATTCTTGATGATGAAAAATCTGAATTCGAAAAAGTTACTAGTATTAGCCTCGTAGGTACGGAAATAATTTCACTAATTAAAATGTGTGTATTTAATGAAGGGAAGTCTTGACGTAACTGATAAAGTTGCTTCCATGTGACGAAGAGGTCACGGGTTCGAGCTGTGAAAACAGCCTCTTGCAGAAATGGAGGGTAAGGCTGCGTATAATAGACCCTTGTGGTCCGACCCTTCCCCGGATCCCGCGCATAGCGGGAGCTTAGTACACCAAGCAATTACGTGCAGAAGGATCTAAAGTGCACGTTTTAATTAGCTGAAAGTAAAAAGTGATCAACCATATATCATAAGAACCAAAATCAGGTTACGTCAATATATCAGAAACTAATAGCGCAAATTTCCCTCGCAGGTACTTTTCTTGGGATTAAACAAGCAGCGAGAGTCATGATCCCTCGTCGTCAAGGCAGCATAATTGTCACTGGCAGTGTGAGTTCATCGATTGGTGGCGCTTGTTCTCATGCCTACACGAGTTCAAAGCATGGAGTTTTAGGACTTACTAGGAATGCTGCAGGTGATTTAGGACGCTATGGCATTCGTGTGAATTGTGTTTCCCCATACGCTGTTCGTACACAAATGGCTTTTGATTCTTTAAAGAAGATGGGCAAAGAAGGTTGGGATGTTTATTCTACCTTAAATGGTGCAACACTTGCTCCAAAAGATGTGGCTGAAACTGCTGTTTTCCTCGCAAGTGATGAGTCCAAGTGTTTTAGTGGCCAAAATTTTATTATTGATGGAGGATTTACCATTGAGAATTCAGGTTTCTCACTTTTCAAGTAATTTTACTTGATAAGTTCCGGTCATGCAATTATATATGTAATATGGTTTTGTACAATGGAGCCATATGTGTCTCCAGAGGTATCTAATTACAAAATAAAAATTTCACAGCTTCAATATTCTCCTAATGTACAATTTTGAATAATCTTAATGTCTACCAACACGGGCTACTACTCTTAAAGTCTCTTACGAACCATTCAAAATGATTGAAAGCTCACTCAGACATGGGATACCTGCAAAAGAAAACACCAATTTCAGAAGTTAATCCTTCAAAATTTCATACGACGAGATTCACCGAAATTGAAGACTCCTGTCATACCAAACGAATTGTAATGTGGATATTTGAATGCGCCTTGCTACTCTCTTAACCAGATTTGCGATGTCAATGACACCCTGTACACTTATGAACGTCTGAATGCCTAATCCAAGTAAAGCTAACAAGAAAAGAAAAGCTAGTTAGTTGTATCCACAATTTACATCAGCAGCAATCAATGTTCCACACCAACACACACAAAACTAATAAGTATCCTCAACAAGTTTGGGACCCAAAAAAGAAGGAAAAAACAAACCCACTAAATAAATATATGTACGATAACCATCCCAATTTTCGCTGAAAAAGAAAACAATCCCTTTCAGATCTTCAAGCATTATTAGTCATGAATTGAGAAAATTATTAATTTCATTTTTCATGTGTTGGAAAAGAAAAATACAAAGCACAGCTTCCCCACCACAGAGCTTCCCCACCAACGGAACAAAGTGGATATTTATCTAAGTTAACCCACATCACTCTGGACTTCCTATTTAAAGAAAATTTTGCTCAATAACAGTGTAAGATGAAAGTTACCTTATTTAGCTCATTTTTCTGGTATGTTTGGATACCAGAAAAACCTCCATTGCCATCAGTTCTTGGCTTCTGAAAAGGTAATCAATAGACAACGGTTACTAGATGTAATAATGAAAAAGATATCAGCTATTTCAATACAGATCTAAGATCCACAAATGTCTCTGTAAGTTAACTGATTCGTAAAGGATAATAATATTGACCTACAGATGTCATAGCAGAAATTTTAGCACGAACATGTATCTCAACCGCATGTGTTTGCACATAATCACTCTCTAATACAGATATGCACCACTAACTGCAAATATCTTCAACATGTATATATTTTTATGCTCAAAGACTTCAATTGAAAATATTAGATGACAACTTAGAATTTGATCATGGGAAAAGATATGGAACAACAGGACCATGTCAAGAAGCATAAAATTCATTCTCAGTCTGCAAGCCTAGCACAAGCATTTAAGTTATTGCAAATTGCTAAGAAAGAAGTCGAATTTCAGTCTTGGATTTAACCAATATCGCAGACATGAAACCCGAATTCTGTGTTACCTTTACTTTCTGTCTCAGAAACAAATCTGGACCGTAATTCTGTGACTTGCTCCCATTTTTCTCCTTATTGTTAACCTTGCTTGGTTTAAGTTCCTTATCAATGCAACTGGTAGGATCATGTTTCCTCGACCTATCTTTGTGTTTGTGCTTTTTATGCTTCTTCTTTTCCTTGCATTCATTCTGCAATTTAGATGCACCTGTAGGGAACCCAAGTTCTGCCTATTGACACAAAAATAAGTTACTGAGGAAATTTTATGACGGGACTGGATTAGTACAGCAGATGAAGGCTTAAACAATACACGCATTGAGGATTAAAAGGTGGATTCTTACCAATGACAGATCGGTGGATGTTGCTTCTCTTAGCTGAAAAGCATCTGTAAGAAGATCCAAGCCAAAAGGACGCAACTGTACACATCTATGCCCCACGTAAGGGAAATTTTGAGACAGCTGATCGAGTTCCATTCCTTCACCTTTCCTTATTTCTGTGTCCCCCACCACATTCCTGAGGTATTGTGTCTCAGATATAGAGAGTGGTAGAGACCTCTTGCAGAAAAAATCAAGATGTTTCCTAAGTTTACAATGGTTTAGAAGATCAACTGAACCACCAAGTTCTCTAGGTCCTGAAGAAACAAAAAAAAAAACAGGCCCACATGATGGGAAAATCCATTCAGATAATGAATATCCAACCGAGAGAATGTAAAAGCATTGGTAAAGTTAATGTTAAAGCCAAATTTTTAACCACTTCATGCTATTCAAATCCTGCCAATAGAAGTATCAAATTCTTTTTTATCGTCAACAGTATGATGAACACAGACTGAAATGTCCTGGACATTGTGATGCGGAACCCAAGATCAAAAAGATTAATGATGTAAATCTAGTAAAAAGTGATGTAGGATAGCAAGCATTAGTATGGAATTGAAAGACAAAAATAAGAAAATTACAAGGAGATTAGACCTTAAGATTAGAAGCACAACTAACCATGGATATATCAAATCTACAAACCTCAAGAGCAGTCAAACAAGTAACCTAATCTATAACCTAAGATAGAATATTACATAAAATGAAAAACTATCCTTGAAGCAATAAGACAAGTTCATTGTAGAACTTAAGGAGAACTTCCAAAACTCTCGAAGAGCTGAATATATTTCATGTAAAACTCAAATGTTTGATCCCTTGCAATGAAAAAGTGATGGCTATATATAGAGCCATTTCGACTACTCTTGAACTATCTACAAGTGTGAAAACAAATACTAAAAAGGTCTTCAATGGCGGTTGCATGCCAATCTTCAACAATGGAGGCCACAAATCACTAAAGACATCTTGCAGAAAGCTTAAAAACCTAGCAATAAAATATTACTTGAAAAATGATACGAGCACCCTCCACGAAATTGCAATCAAGGATCTATGTTTACCAACCGGACCAATCACTAGAGCTAAAGCTAGAAAAGTTATTAATAAAAACTAGGAATTCATGGGCGTGGATGAGAATCCAAAATTAATACATGTATCTCAAGTGAGCCTAGGATGAATTTGTCAACTTCAAAATCACTTCTAGAATAGCATAGGATGAATTTAGCTGTGTAACTTACCAAAAATGTAGTTCAAGATGTCTCTTTCTAGAAAATCAAAGATTGTGCAAATTGGATACCCCTAGACAAAATTATGGACTTTCTACCAAGACTGCACCAATCTGCCTCGATTTCCAATACAAGAAATTCGATCATCATGCTTGACAAAAAAGAATTGAATTGCTCTTGTGAACTTATTAAAGAAGGCATCAAGTAGTCAGACTATATGGTTAGGTTTTTAGGCTTCCATAAGATGTTTTAGGTGACTTTATGCCCTCTATTGTTTAAGATTGCATGCAGCCACTATTGAAGACCTTTCTAGTATTTATTTCACACGTATAGCTAGTTCAATAGTAATTGAAATGGCTCTATAAATAGCCATCATTCTTTCACTGTAAGGGCTTAGTATAAATAGCCATCATTCTTTCACCGTAAGGGCTTAGACATTTGAGTGTTACACGAAATATTGAGAGTTTTGGAGGAGTTCTACCAAGAACTTGTCATTGATTACTTCAAGGATAGTTTTTCCTAGAATATTTGATTTACTGCTCTTGCGGTTGCGGATTTGATATATCCATGATTAATTGGGCTTCTAACCTTGATGTCTAATCTCCTTGTACAACAATGACAATAAACCCAGAGTAGTCCCACGAGTGGGGTCTAGGGAGGGTAGTGTGTATGCAAACCTTACCCCTACCTTGAGAAGGTAAAGAAGTTTCAAATAGACCCTCCACTCAAGGAAAAATATAAAAAGAAGCAGTAGCACCAGACTATATCATCAGCAACAACAACAACAACATATTTAGTATATTCCCACAACGAGGAGCTAGGGAGGGTAGTATGTACGCAAACTTTTAGCCTACCTTGTAGGGGTAGAGAGGTTGTTACTGATAGACCTTCCGCCCAAGTAAGCACAGTATCAACAATAAAGAAATGCAATATAAAAAACGAACAAGTCATGGAAAGAAAACAAATAATAGTGAGATATTAACAGACCGAAACACAAGCAATATCAGGTAATAATATGAGTCCAAGAATAAGCCACAACTAGGGTAATACTAAAGCTACCGATATGTAAGGGGAATACGCTTTACTACCTATTAACCTTCTACCATAATCTTTGTCCTCCACAACCACCTCTTATTAAGGGTCATGTCCTCAGTAAGCTTAAAAAGCGTCATATCATGCCTAATCACCTCTCCCCAATACTTCTTCGGCCTTCCTCTACCCCTCCTTAGACCCACCATGTGCAACCTCTCACACCATTAGCAAGTTAACAAGAAAACCAAAGCGAATGCAGTTATAGAAAATCCCCAAAAATAAGAAAGTACAAGACTAACACTAATACTATTGGCTTGGAGAAGGAAAATGCACGATTACATACTAACTTTCTCCTTAATTCTCAACCTACACACCTTCCTATTGAGGGTCATGTCCTTGGTAAGCTGAAGCAGCCTATGTCCAGCCTTATCAACTCTCTCCAATGCTTCTTTGGCCTACCTCTGCATCTCCTCAAATCCACCAAGGACTATCTCTCACACCTCTTTATTGGGCCATCAGCGATTAGCGTCTCTCCTCTTCACATGTACAAACCATCTAAGCGTCGCTTCCCGCATCTTCTCCTCCACAAGGACCCACGCCCCTTGTCTAATCTCCTTGTAAGTTTCTTATTTTGATCTACCAATTTCATACTATTTCTTGCTATCCTATGTCATTTTTACTAGATTTACGACATAAATCTTTTTGATCTTGGACTCCCCATCACAAAGTATGGCATATTTACCTTAAAACGGTTTCGAACATTTCTTTTCCACTGCCCTAATAAATATTTCTTTTTTGTTTTACACGTATTCTCAAAACCTAAGCTCTATCAATACATACAAGTGGTGGAATATATTAGTAGTCCACTTCATACGCGGCATAAACAAAGTTAAACACTTAACTTAGGTGACTTGTGTGGAAAATCTCGGATGTGTAAGAGAGCAATTAATTAGGTATGAAACGTAGAGAGATAGTAAAGAATATAGCACCCACTACCTCTTTAGTTCGACTCATGAGGGACATAGAAACAAACATATATGTTTATATCAATGAACATATAACATTCCTGTTGCATTGTTAATCCAGGACTCGTGGTAATTTTAGTAGACCTAAATTAATCATATTTTAGAAGTTAACTCTGCCTAGTCTATAAATGATTTGTGCAAGGGAAATTAAAAAATT